GTTCACCACAAGGGGCCTCCCCTGTACTGCACCGGACCCGAAACATGCCGAGGCACTTTCGTTTGCGAAGAAGCATGGGATGAGAATCATTCTTTACCTTTTGCCAGAAAAACTTTGTTATGTTGATGATTTGATCCTGTGCTTAGAGGCCATCAACCTTGAACCGAGAGCTCAAGATCAAAGAAAACGGGACGTATCACGTCCAATAGTGGAAAGATCTTCTTGGAAAGAGACATCTTCGGAGGATGGTTCCGCCGAAGTGCATAGAAGTTTGTTTGAAAACAGTTTTGCAAGGATTTGAAGATTGTGTACCCCTGCGGAGACACTCAAAGATTGAAAAGAAAGCTTGATTTGAGCATGTTTGAGGCAGATGATTCGGACCTTGGAGTGAATTCAAGAGGAAGTCTAGTATGTGCAGAACCAGGATGCTGTTGCATCATTTTTTGGTGCAAGACGTGCAAGTAGCTGTTCAAGAATGAAGGTTCCCATGGGTTGAACAAAACCTCTAAAGGTTTTAGCTGTGGGAAGTGCAAGAGTGAGGTCACTGTGATGGGATCTGCAGCTCAGCATGCTTTCAAACATGCGTGAGAGGATAAAAACCAAGCGCTGGGAGTAGAAGAGTGAAGCTCAAAGGGTGAAGGCAAAGACAAGGCGGCGCCTATCACGCCAGCGCCTCAGAATGAAGGTGATGTGCCTCTCCCTAGTGGGGCAGTGGATAGCAGTGGTGGCTCTGTGCAGCCCGATCCACTGTTTCCTTGGTTTCCGGATCTTAGTGATCAGAAGGGTACCTGAGTGGTACAAGGATATGCATGATGCGGTGTGCCGAAAGGGCGAGCCGTATCGAGAGCTGGTGGAAATGTTTGAGCGGTTCATCTCCTTGTTGAACGAGAAAGGGATGACGAGGTACAGCAAGGACTACACTTCCTTGAAGCACCAGAACAGGGAGCTCTTTAAGGCTTGTGAGGAAGCCGGGAGCTTTGCAGCTTTGGAGAAGTTGATCATGGTGATTGACTTGAGAGGCCAGTTTGGTGGCCGGGCTGCGCTTTAGGAAGTGGTGACCACTTCGGGGCAACTTCGGGGTGTGTGCTTACTGAGGTTCCGTATGGGACCAGTGGTCTGTCTCTGGCTACCTTTGTGTGTGGGTTGTGCCAGAAGGGTGCAACGCCTCTGGTTGGTTGGAGACGAACCTGACCTCAGTGTTCGCAGGATGATGGATTTGTTTTCAATGCTGCCAATGATTGGAGCTGAGGTTTGTGTCGATAGCTCGGCGCAAAAGGATCAGCACCCTGAGCGGCTGAAGGAGTGGCAGAGGACGGATTGCCTGCCACTGAATGTGGTGTGCAACGGCATCCGCTGGGTTGCGGATTTGATGTGCCAAACGGTGGCAAACAAGGACTCATATGGTGTGTTGCCACAATGGGCCTTTTGGCTTTACTCCGACTACAAGACTGTCCAGGCTGCGTTGGCAGGGCCAGCTAGAGCTTTTATGCCGTGTGAAGAGACCCGGCCGGTTTTGAGTTGGGAGTGCAGTTGCCTGTGGCACAGCACCAATGCTTACGTGACGAAGCACAAGGTGTACTTGCCAGTGCATCTTTTGGTGGGTGTGATTTCGCATGTGCGGATCCACTTGGATGATTTGAAGGAAGAGATGCTTCAGATGGAAGCCTTGGTTGCAAAGGAGGTGACACGCCAGCAGCTTCAGCAGCAGCAGCAGCAGCAGGAGCTCAAGCGGAAGGCTGATGAGCAAGAAGAGGAGGCTAAGAGGCCTAGGGTTGAGGTTCCTGTTGCTCAAGGTGCTGCTCCCTCGACTGGGGGTGTGCCTCAATTTGCCTTGACGGAAGAGGATTTTCGTCGCATTGCGACGATGGTGACGCAGAATCTTCTGCAGGCGATGCCTATGTTGGGGCAGCCTCCACCTGGACCTCCCCCGATGCCTGCTCTGGTGGCTACTCCTGTGGAGGTGCCAGTGGAGGTACCTGTGAGAGCACCTGATGATCAGGCTCAGGTTATGGCTGAGCGCATGGAAGAGCTTGAGGGTATGCAGGCAGCGGCCCGCGAGAGGCGTGAAGCCCAGGTTGCTGAAGGTGTGAAGAAGGCTGAGACGCCTGGGGATTCCGGGAAGGGATCTGAGTGAGATGGTTGTGACCTCTCAGGTTTTTATGCAGCCGTCTTAAGCCATGGCACTCGGTGCTGCAATGGCTCTTTTGCGTGCGCGGAGGTGCAATCAGTGCATGTGTTTTCTGCCTGAACGTTTTTTTTTCTGGAAAGCTCGGATGCAGTCTGGAACGGGAGCTTTGCAGCACTAAGCTTACTGGAACTGGAGTTTTCTTTACTGGCTGAGCAGTTTTCGTGGTCCCCTTGGACCCTGTCTGGGAACCTGGCGTTTTTCTGCCCTGGAGACTGAGTTTGTGGGCGAGGTCTTGAAGGTGGACTGAGTGTTCCTGAGAGCCTCGCTAGAATTAGTTTGTCACGTGTTTTCACTACGATCTGAGTTCGCTCAGAAGCCTGCATGCCTTTTCGATCAAAGATCTGGTTGTTGTGTTTTGTGTTTGTGCTCTGTGTGGCGAGTACGCACCAAGGGAATGTGGCCTGGGCATTCCCCTAGTGCAGAAGGGCCAACTTTGTTTGGTCTTTCAAGGATCTTTGAGGTAGCCCTCAGCAAAATGCGGGGGGTGTAAGATCATGGGCGATAGTCGCTTGTGAAAAGCTCTTTTGTCTGTGAGTTGTTTTGCTTCGGGAACGGTTTCAAAGTTTGGTTGGGAATCTTGACGATCCCAAGATGTAGGAAACCTTCCGTTGTTGTGTTAGAGTACATTTGAGAATCTTGTCGATCTCAAAGTGTACTCGCGTTTTGCTGAAGCAACAGGGACTCCTTGAAGGATCCCGAGCTTTAGGTTTAAATCCCACAAGATTTACTCTGTAAATCTTGTTGGGTTGTGTGCCCAATACGCTAATTCGTTTGTCTTAATTCGTTTTCGCACTCCGTGACGGTTTGGCTCAAGCTGAGAGAAAAAGGCCTTGAAGCTGTCCGCTTTGTTTAAGAAGGTTTGTTCTTCCAAGGGAAAAGGTCCAGTAGGGACCTTAAGTTTTTCACGCGCAGTTACAACCTGGGTTCAATCCAACCAACCCGCCCCTGCGGGGTATGCTCACAGATTCGACACTACTAATGTCAGACGAAGCGTTTGAGTTTTTTCTTTTTGCACTTTTCTTTTTCCAGATTTTATTTCTTTGTTTGCACTGTGAATCTTTTGAAATTTTGAAACATACCAAGTTTGGATTCATTGTCTTTGTAAAAATCGTTTTCGTGTTTCTTCTGTTGCAGGAAGAGCGGGTGGAAACGGTGGATCAAGCTTTTGCGGAGCCTAGCGTGCGAATTCCTTCAGACACTTGTTTGTTCTGGAAGCCCACTTTGGGCAGCATGCGAGCTCTCGTCCTCATGGTCGCTGTTTTTTTTTCAGTGATCGTTTCTTTGACACGGCTGTTCTGCTGCACCGCACTGTTACTTTCTCCACACGGTTGTTCACACGACTCGAGCTTTTGCAGCAAACCAGTTTCAAATCTCGCCACGATCTAAAGTTCACCTTCTTGCATTTTGCAAACCCAAGGGCGCAAGTTGCTAGCAATCAGGCCTGCACCTGCCGCTTGCGCCCAAGGAGCATGAACGACGCCTCAGGCAGCCTCTTCTTGATCTGTCGCTGATGGAGCGAGTAACTGCTCCAGGGTGACCAAGAATGTCGGAACCCCGAAAGAAGGGGTCTCAGCCTGCACAGCTGGCCTGGAAGATCAAAAAAAGTCCCAGAGGCCTACCTAGTCTTGAATGAGGCTGCCCTCACAGGACAGCCGGGCAAATTAGCTGTGATAGAGTACAGGAGGCCGCGGGAGCGAGACTGGTGCTGCACAAGAAGCAGCTCAATGACAAAGTCAGCCGTTTTCTAGACCTTTTTTCTGTGCCCATCAAAACGTTCTTTCAAAGCTTCTGCAGCAAAGTCAAGCATCCACGCTTGCTACGAGAACGCTAGGAGGAGTTTTATTCGTGGTCCATACAGCCAAATTGCCGCAAAGATTAGCGCCAAAATCCTGCGAGGGTTTTTCATTTCGTTTCAAAACCCCGAATGTTGTTCGTTGCTGCCGCATCCACCGCCGAGAGTTTGCCCAGTAGGGAAAGTCGCGATGTGTCCACTTATTTATGACTGGTTTATGTCTCATTTCCGTGAGGAGATGGAGATTTTGTTTGATCGATTTGTAATGTTTGCGAAAACTTTTCAATCCATGCCATGTCGGTGGATAGCCCTATCAGGTTGTTGCTGCGCCAGGCTCTGCAAGATTTTTTTTCATTTCGCTTCAGAAACCGGAAATTGAGATTTAGCAGTTTGAGGTCGCATGACGTCAGTCGGCACTTCCTCTAACACCGCAGTCTGTTGGAGGCGCTCAGACTGTGTTCTTCTTGCAGCGCAGACGCGAAAGCCAGTCCCTGCTTCCGCAAGCCGTGGGCCGTGTGTCAGCTTCCGCCAAAATGCGAGGGATCACAGCTGCCAGACTTGACGATGGGTGAGATGTCCTGCGCTCTTGCATGGAAGACGCCGAGGAGCAGTCCAAAGCCGGTGGCCCGTGGTGTTGCAGGTCTCCGACTGCCCTCGTCTGCAGCCGGTTGGACATTCGATACCAAGGTAGAGACCAAAATAGAACTTCTGCGACAACCGTTGTGCAAACGCACATCAGAATGCTTCGCAAAACACCATTTCCGGAGGAGCCATGAGGAGGAACAGTGCCATGAAGTTGCTGACTTGAACTATTGAATGTTTGCAATTTGAGATTTTTGGCGTCATGTTTTCATACAAATCAAAAGACCTTAATTAATCGCTAATCACGAGACATGTAGTTGCTTCGTGCATCAGCTGAAGAGTTTTGATCGGTGACATGGAAGGTGCAGGGCCTTGGACATCCTAACGAGACTGCGCGTTTGTAGGCTTCCAGACCGATAAGGTTTTGTGGATGTTTCATTCTGCCGCAGCTGTTAGAAGTGGCAATTGGATGCAAAGCATTTGGCGTGTCGATTTTGCGGCCTTGCAACCAGTCTAAGATGGTTTGCGGAATCTGGCAGCGATGACTGTAGCCCGAGCTGAGGGAAGTAGAGGGCGACAGTTGCGCGCACTTAGTCACTTAGTGACTTAGTGACCATGCGCGGCAGTCTGGTGCAGAGTCCGTGTCTTGCTTGTTCGACTGTTGTGTTCTCTTCTGTCATCTTCCATAGATCTTTGCTCATGGATGGGTCAGTGATGGACCAGGCTTCTTGTTTCGCAAGGGCTTACAAGACGAGGACTGCGCCCTGCCTGAGCTGCCAATCGTGTTGTTGACGTCGTTGCAAGCCAATCCTCGATTCCCCAAAGCCCGACAGGACGACCGTGAATCGGGCCAGAGGCGCGGATGTTGAATGAGGCACGCTGCCGCGAGCTCGCCTGCCTGGGCTAGGTTTCATTATCTTTGTGAATTTGTGTGGAGCCTTGGCCAGAATTCCGAATTTTGCACCTGTGCTGCTTCAGGCACTCTCTGCTTTTGTCAGCCTTCTTCTGACGCAAGGCTTTCTCTTGCGCAGGTGCTGGAGTTGCTTGAGCACACTGTTTTTGATGCCCGTTCGGTCCGGCAGGTGCAGCGAAGTCTGAAGCCCTCCATGGCCGGAAATGCTGCGGCTGAGCAGTGAGCTAGAGCTCCTTCGCCCCCTGAGTCAGCAACCTGCCATCACCTGTCCTGCCGCGAATTGGGTTGGTGGCAACTTCGGAAGGTCTTGCAGTTGCCTCGAAGCTCCGAGGCATTCCATAAGTTTCGCGGGCTTCATCGCTCGCACGTGTTTTCCCGCAAGCCGGTTGCAGGTGCCAGACTCTGCGACTCGCCTCCACTTTTTGTTGAAGCCGATGTTGGAGAGTTCCTCGCCCACGGTCACAATCTTGCTGGATTCGGGTCGGCTGGCCGGGTTGTGACCGTGACGGGTGCCACGTGCCCACGCATAATCGCGAAGGGCAGCAGGCTTTCTGCCCACACTGCGAAGTGCTGCTATTGTATCGACATCCTGTCAGTAACCGTGCCGCCCGAAGCGTTGTAGGGAAATTCAGGACACTACAGCACATCAGTGGGCAGAACCGTCAAATCTAGGGTGTCACCATGCTGTGAATGTGCTCGCGATGTCCGGAGCATGCGGGCAGTGGTGCCGGTGAGTTCGCTGGACTCACACGAATGGTGGGGAGTTCCAGATGGCAGGAAACACTGGCTGAGGCCCCGTCGGTGTCACATTCTGTCCTGTGCGCAGCTGTCGTGGTTTGATGAGAGAGCTTGCCGACCCGGTTTTGAGATACGAACAGAATTTGTGCAGAAACTGTGGCAGGGTGCGCTCTTGTCATGCATTGCATAGTAAAAAGCTGTGATGAAGCGCTGTCGGCTTCGTCCACTCCGCGAGCACTTGGCAGTATGAATCTCTCGTGCTATTACGGAGAACTCGCGCCCCTGATCCTGGACAATGCTGCGGCCTACCCAAGGAGCTGGGTGGCGCGGGGAAGGAACGTACTGCTGTCGGCTATCCTCCCAAATTCGGATGACACTCTGCAGGTTTCGGTCGATATCTCGGACTACGTGCACATTGCCGGCCTCCAAGCCCCCATCCTCAACGAGATCAATGTCTTGCTGGCCTCCTACAACAGCGCAGAGACCGATGCTGAGATCGCCAGATCGTCCGGAGCCGCCTTGCCCAGTACAGAAGTTTCGGTGCCAGAGGCAGCTAGGCGGTGAGGTCGGGAGCATCTGCGTCACTGAACACCTGGACCTGTCTGTGAAGCGCCCTAGGCCTCCGACCGGAGGGTATCCTGCAGCTCCTCCAGCAAAGGAGGGCCAGGTCATTTTGTGCAGAATGTAGGGGTGCTGTGCCCAAGTCTCTCTAGCGTTGCCGATTACTGCGCCCTATACTTTCACCTACTGTTGCCTGGTCCATACACTCCCGTCCTCCTCACGGCCGAGGCGATGATCTTTGATCGTTTTGTTTGAAATGCAAAGGCTCTTCCCCCTAATTCGGGATGATTGCGCTGCGGAGTTGGTGTGACAGGGCCTGTGCAATGTCAGCTTGGGGTGCCAATCCAGCCGGCCCATGGC